ATCTTAAAGCAAAATATAGTACAATTATTTTGTGATTTTTACTAAAATTAAACTCAACATGTCTAAATTAAGGCATTTTCTTTAAAGTTGATATCCACTCTACAGGTGAGATTTCCTTTCTGCTAAGTCTTGGTGCAGAGCAGATTTTTCTGAGAAACGTGCTGTAGGCAACATATACTTTTATATATATGGTGTTGTTACACGTCTTTTCACCATGCTTGGTGGAAACAGCAAGTAAGCAAAAGGGAATGGTTATTTAACCTAGTTCTGCTACTAACTAGCTAGACAACCCCAAGTAAATAATTTAACTGGGTATATGGTGGCTCAGTTTTCTCATGAAGTTGGACGAGATTATCTCTCAAGATTCTTCCTAAGGTTTTGTGATTAGTAATTAAGATATTTCTAAATGATTCATACACATTTTACATAGCAGGTACTCAATTTGCCCTTGTTATAAATTACATGTGGAAAGCTTGCACTAAATTTTAAGGGTAGTATTTAATAGCTGAAGCAATAACTTGCATATTAAGAAATTAAAATTCTTACAGATCAGAAAGCCAGATGAGAAACTTCTGACTTCTGGACATGGTGTGTGGTTCTTTTAGCCTAGGGTAAAATAAAGTTTGAATTACAAATTAGAAACACAGAAATATATCAGTGTGATGAAACAGATTCGAAAATGAAAACAGTGCCTTGTACTTTGTATATTCTCAAAAATATTTGTAAAAAGGACAAAAATAAAACAAAGGCCAGTTGGGTTCTGTTTGCACTGGTCTCAAGCTAACTTTTTGCCATCTCTATTCAAAAGTTAAAAATAAATAAATAAATAAATAAATAAATAAATACATAAATAAATAAACAAATACTGTCTTTCCAGAGACCCTGGTGCCCTAGGCTCATATCTCCTTTCTTTTTTGGTGAAATCTTTCTCCTGCTTTGTCTGCTACAATTTAGTATGTGGCAGATTTAAACATACAACAGAACTGTATTATAGATTAAAGTAAGCTGTTTACCATGTGTTTTCCTTTCCTTTAAAATATCTGTAGGCCGGCCGGGCGCGGTAGCTCACGCCTGTAATCCCAGCACTTTGGGAGGCCAAGATGGGCAGATCACGAGGTCAGGAGATCGAGACTATCCTGGCTAACACGGTGAA